TCCATGGCAAGAGCTCGCAGACAGCCGTCACTGGCCAATCGAAAGGCTGGGTGCTCTTTAAACACCTTTCTGTTGAGGTGGACGCAGATGTCTGCTCGCATGTCTTTGGGACAAATCTGTAGTACCTGCAAACAAAAAACCTCAATGAAAAGTTACATAAAGTCAAAACAAGGAAGCCTAATCCAAATATGTCTGCATTATTTATTTGACAACGGGCATGCCAAAAATGCAGGGCATGACTACTTAATAACAACCATGAGGTAAAGTTGACTATAGAGATGCATTATAACTACAGAGAGGACTTGCAGCCAGAGGTTGAAGTGATAAAAGATAAGCGCCTCCTAGTGAAGTGCTGTAGTCAAGTCAAATCAAGTCAAATTTATTTATATAGCACATTTAAAATGCCGGCTGTCGAGTGGTGCCATTTTAATTTTAGTCAGGACAAAATTAAACTAATCAGCCAAGCCACCTAGTAAAACTAGGAATAAAATTAGGCAACTTATCGCAGAGTAAATGGTAAATGGACTGCACTTGTACAGTGCCTTTCTATCTTATTTCAAGATACTCAAAGCGCTTTACACTACAATCTGTGTCCTCATTTACCCATCCACACAGCACTCTACTAGATCTCTACAAAGCTAATTGAACAAATCATTCTAAAGAGACTAATCAGAGCTTTATCAAATTCAAACACCGATGGGACACACATCGGAGGCTATGAGGGGTTCAGTGTCTTGCCCAGGGACACTTCGGCATGTGACTGCTGGTGGATTCAAACTCCCAATTCTCACATTGGAGGACAACTGCTCTAACCACTCAGCCACAGCCGCCCCCAAGTCAGAGTCAGAGTCAGAGTTTCTTTGTCATTCGCACCTCATGTGGTACATGTGGTGGAGCGAAATTATGTACACGGGGTCCCAGTTACATCCAACAATAAAATGTATAAGAAAAACAGTAATAACATCTAAGATATGAACTAAGAAAAACATCAACTAAATATACACTAAGCACTCATAACATAAAACATTGAACATCAGCACAAACATGAACATGAGTCTGTGAGCAGATGTGCACACATGAACACATCAACATTGAAACAGATCAGCAGCAACATGAAACAGATCAGCAGCAACATGATATGGTTTTTCACAGTGATTATTCTAGTTAGAGATTCATGAGTCTAACAGCCTCAGGGTAGAAGCTGTTCCTCAGTCTAGTGGTTCTACACTTAATGAAGGATGGGGAGTGGTGGCGCAGAGGTTAGAGAGGTGGGCTTGTGATCCGAAGATCGCCGGTTCACGCCCCGGCCCCTACAACATCAAAAATTGTGGGTGGGGTAGGTGAAACACCCACACTTGCCCCCACCCTCATTCGCCCCACTCTGGGCCCATGAGCAAGGCCCTTAACCCCCACCATGTGCTCCCTAAACAGGTCTCTCTTGAAAATGAGTTCTCGTGGCTCAATGAGACTAACCTGGATAAATAAAGGCTAAATGAAAAAAAATAATAATAATTAACTCTTTAACCTCCTTCCTGAGGGGAGTGGGGCAAAAAGTGTGTGTGCTGGGTGAGTGGGGTCCTTCATTATGCAGGTGGCCCTCTTCCTGCATCTGCAGGTGCAGATGTCTGTGATGGTGGGGAGGCTGATTCCGACAGATTTCTGTGCAGCCTTCACCACTCTCTGCAAAGCTTTTCTTTCTGCAGCTGTGCAGCCTCCATGCCACACATTGATGCTGGAGCACAGGATGCTCTCCACTGCACACCTGTAGAAGGAGGTGAGGACTGAGCTTCCCAGTCCAGCTCGCCTCAGCCGTCTGAGGAAGTAGAGTCTCTGATGAGCTTT